CTGAAGAGAGATGTCCTCTATTCTAAGCTGTGTCCTACATTTGAAATGGCCCCTTCTACTTTTGTAATCTTAGGTGTGTCATCAAGGCCAATAGTGTAATTCTTCCGACACACAAAATCTGACTGTTGCTAACATGCACTCAGTTTTGGATCTACTATTCTATTTAAGGGTGTCGTGAGATGCTGAATCATAAAGGGATGATTATGAAAACTTTGAGGATATACCTAAATACTGTATTATCAAAAGAATGGCTCCCTCATAGTTAAAAGAGCAAGACTTAAGACCTATTTTGATTGAACTGTCTTTTTTTAAAGAAAAAAAAAAGTCCCAAGTGTTTGGTAAATTATAATAAGAAAAGGAATTTTGTGGAGTAAGGACAACGTGCGTGTGCATGACCAAGCACATGCAACATCCACTGATATTTCTACTTCTTGTGTTTTGAATGGTGTGGGTGTGTGTGTGTCGCTGAGGAACTGCTTTCTTATTCAAATTAAAAATTCTTATGAAATTTAATATTCTTTCAACTTTTGGTGCCCAAAACATTGGCCAGACTTCCCAGTCCTTACTCAGTATTCCTGCCAACAAGCAAGGGTTGTTTCATTGTGGAAGTTACTAACAACACAGCACCAACTTATCTACTATATTTCCATCTGCAGACCTGGCATAGAAATTATATCACACAGAGCCAATCATATATTTCTTCACATTAACTATATCCAAAAAGATAACATGATGCATGTATTTTTGTAAAACTGCGACTCAGAACATGATGACAAAGTTTCACCATGTTGCATGACCCTATATGGAAACATCCCCTGGATCCTGGTTTCTGTCGACATTTTTGTGGTTCCTTTGCATTAATAATTAGTCTTTCACTGTGAAAGGTTTTAGTGACATTTGTACCACATTGCCAGTGATCTAAATTGATTTGCTTGGATTTGAGTGTCTATCAAGAAGGAGCAAGGGCTTGCGCCTAGATGGGGCCCATTTGTCAAAGGTACAGGCTAATTTTGGACAATCGCACAGTGGCCTTTCTCTACTAGAGGTGGTTGTAAGCAGGGCATTTATAAGTCCCTGAACATACACATGGACCTGTGCCATGTTCCACCAGAATTCAATCACATACTTTTAAATCCAACCTTGAAATCTAGTATGTTTAGACTGATGAAGCCAGTCTTGCTGTGCTGACTTGAAGTGGAAAATGTGCATTTCAAAGCAGTTTTAAAGATACCATTGAGTGCAGACGGTGAAAATGCTTTAGAGGGTCTTCAATTGGTTTGACTAGAGATTAATTTGGAAATGTTTCCAAGAACCAACCTCGCTTTTGCACTTCATGATTCTTCAAGAATATTCCTTGAAAAGAAAATATATCTTATAATGAAATTGCATATGTATATTTGTACTGAATATAAAAAAAATCATATCTATATAAAACAAAAAGCAGAAATTTTATAGGGAATCAACCTGAGTGTAGCAAAGAAGAACAGGTCTCACTGACACTAACATTACACATGACTCTTAACAATGTACACTGTTCTCCTCTCCTTGTTGCCTCTCCTTCATTTGCACTGACCCAGTAGCATTAGACAGGTGAAAGCTCAACCAAGTGGCTGGTGTACACCATTTTGTCTTACCCTCCAAACTTCATATCACAAAATCTGAAAGAGAGGAGACAAGAGGGGGAAAGGACTACATACCACCAATATATGTCAGCAATGCATCCTTGGCATTGCTGCAGCCTTTACTAGTATAACGTTAAATCTTTCTCATCCTTCCAGTAAACGTTACGCATGCAGAGTATCTAGTGTGTGACAGAAGCAAACTATCATCAGTGGAAAGTTTGAACTCTTACCTGCCTACCACAGCAAACGCAACACATATACTTCTTACATTCAGAGACCGTACTTCAGTAGAAACCATTCACTGTATTCTGTGAATACCTCAGCAAGCATATTACTGTTTTATTGTAAATGCTATAGATAGATAGATAGATAGATAGATAGATAGATAGATAGATAGATAGATAGATAGATAGATAGATAGACAGATAGACAGATAGATAGATAGATAGATAGATAGATAGATAGATAGATAGATAGATAGATAGATAGCAAAACCACAACTGTTTGATACTCAGCGAATCTGAATTGCAGAACTGACACTGTGTAAGATGGAGAGAGTAAAAAGCTGTGAAATGATTATTAGAATTTTACATTCATCATACCCATATTGCTGAAGCGCACTTGTTCCTGTTCATTGTTTTATTTGTTGTGTTTTCTATCGCATGCAATAAGTAAAGAAAAAAAAGAAGAAAAGGACACCACCATATCATTATTTTTATCTGAGGGATGTCTCCATACCACGAGAAAAGATTTTGTATTTTCCGTTCAAATGTCAAGTTCAATAGTGTGTTCTATAGATGTACAAACTGTCTGGCTAATTCTGTTCTGTATAGTTGTGATCACAAACAGGGGTTTATCTTGTACTGTATATCTACTCACTGGACAATCATACGTATAAGAGACTGTAAAGAAAATGATATAGAATCTGTTGGGATGGAGAATCTTCCAACACTTTTGGTGCTGGGTCCTAGTCTTGCTGGAGCTGTGGAAGTTTGGTGTGAGAGAAATATTTTCCAGAAAAAACTGCTGATTCAGTTTAAAGTGTACATCTGGACAAACCACTTTGGATAAAATGTACAAATAAAAAACAGAAATGGAATAAATATCCATTCATAGACCCCAAAACTATCCTGATCTGATCAGAAAGTCATTGTCTTTACTTTTGACTCATAGCAGAATGTTTTGATTCCCACAAAACAATGAATTAAAATAAACATGTAGGGTTGATACAGTATTACATGAAAAATGCAATGTGACTCTGTGAGATGCCATTTAAAGGTTTGAAAACAAAAACACTCAAAGTGTTTGACAATTTGTTTAGTGTGATTTTCTTCCGTACTGTACCTGGCATTGATACCATAGAGGTATTTTAAGACTGTTTCCTTCATTTGTAATAGCAGTGGAAAGATGATTGACTGACACAGTTTGATTAGTGAGCAAAACTGTGAGGTTGCCATGCAGACTCGAGTTTAGCCCTCTCAAACCTCAGTCCTCAAATGCTTGGGAATACAACAAAATAAGAATCTATAACCTTTATAGATTATTTGTCCCAGCCTGTTTTTAAATGTCTGCACACAATTTTGCCCTATAGGGGGAAGTGTGACAACAACCATCGGATAATTTTTCTCAAAGGTGTACAGTATGGAATAACACTAAACACTTTAAAATATGTGCCAGAGAGCAGAAAAAATACAGATGTTGAAGACACAGTGTAACTTATCTATTTAAAAGAGGCTCCGTGTTTAAAACTAGCTAGGACTTAACAGATTTGAATCACTTTTGTATTTTTGTATAAACCTGTAAATAAGTTTTTAAAGAAAAAAAATGTTTCAAATTCTTTCTTTTGTAAAATAAATCAATAAAATAATAAAAACAAAAAGTTTTTTTTTTTTTCAAAGTTTACATGATTATTTCCAAGCCTTTGTATATTTTGGAGCTGTGCAACACCTTCAGTCTTGTATTTATTTTTGGGGGGGGTTACAACATTGTGAAAATTCCATTATTCTATATCTAATTCATTTTAACAGCTCATCAAGCTGCTTAGTAACTGTGCATAGAAAAAAGACAATAAATGTGATTGCGTTGAAACAGAAGGCCTTTTGTGTGACACTTCATTTCCTCCCCATCATAACAGAGAGCACTGAGCCCATTCATCCACAAGATGGCAGCGTTTTAATGCTGTCTACTTTCAGTTTTAACTGCAGTATTTCTCGTTCAACAGATGCTACGGGTCAGATTCTGTCTCTAAAGGATCTAGCAAGTCCAACTTAGATTAATTCTTTTTAAATTGACAAATACAGTCAACAGAAAAACACTGAATTCACAAACAAAAAATGATTGTGACATCTAAATAAGGCAGTAGGGGTTAAGTCAAGTCAGGCTAAAAGGGGAGCTGAGAATGGACTTTATACATTACTTGATACTTGTCTTCCAATTTCCTCTTGGGAAAATAATTTCAATAAAGTAATGTGCCTACTTTTTTCAAATTAAAATAAACTATACTATTCGGGCCTCATAGCAGGGAGCTGACCCTGGTTTCCTTAAAGCTACTATTTATTTAACATGATCATTTAAATAAGAGTAAGCATTAGGTGGTGAGTAATACAGGTTTAAACAGGGAGCACTATGCTGTGATTGTAGTTTGCTTCACAAGCTGCAAACAACGTATACGATTCCTAAAGAATCTGCAAGAGTAGTCATAACTAGCCTGTTTATCCTGCTGCTGGTGAGCTATTTGAACTGGCTGATCTTTTAAACAATGATTCCTATTGGACTGTCACTTTCCTTAAGTAAGACATCCATGATCCTTTGACCCCCAACCCCCATCCCCTCCAGACACACACATAGACAGACACAAACCACCAAAACTAAAAAGGACATTTAAACTATGCCAGTGATTTTTTGCATTTATGTATTCATTTCTATTACCCCTATACCTTTCTAATTTCTCTCCTTTTCCCCCAATTATGTTTTCACTGTAGAACTCAATTTGACTGACCGTGCCAATGATTTTTAACGTTGAGGCCATGACCCTAAGGGGTCAGAAGAAACTGAGGGGTGGTGAGATGATTAACAAGCAAAAAAAAGCTTTCACTCTACAAAAATGCTATTATTTTTTTAGACTTTTTTCTAAACTTTGCTTTTGTCTCATGAATTTTACTGAGTAATATTTCCCATGCAGGCCTTTAAAAATAAAACAAGAAATAATATGTCCAATATGGTCGTAACTCATACACATTTACAACTAATAATGATGGATTAGATGTTCCTTTGTTTGAAGGGGTTAAAAGTCAAAAAGGTTGGGAACCACTTTTCTAGGCTATTACGTGTGCTGGTAGCTACCATGGTGGCCTTGTGCTGGGGTCTCAAACACTAAGATGATGTAAACAAATGTTTAATTGTGTGAATGCATATCAAACATATTTAACAAACATCTTTTGTTGAACGTACAGTAAAAAGTCGTATATATATATATATACACATGAAATGCTGCAGAGCGATAGATGACAAGGCATAAAAATATACATAGTTGGTTATTGTGCAGTCCCTCTATGTTGTAGTAATGAAAACAAAATGCTAATGATGTAAAACATCTTCTAAGAAACAACCTACTAAAACCTGAGTTTCACATTAAAGCAAGACGGTTTCAAGTATCAACTTGTTTCCACTACAGGAGAGCAACAGTATGAAATGCAGCTACACATGATTTGGTTGAAAATGGTTCTGAAATGTTCAGAAAATTTGTATTTCTGCCATCGAAAACAGATAAATACTTCTGAGACGTGAATAATTACTCAGACACAACATCGTCCTGTAGGTAGTTATTTGATGATGCACACAAAAACTATTTCAGGCAGAAAAAAAATGATTACACTTACGCTTGATACAGGTTGATACACTTTGTTACAGTACAAAATGATATCAAAAAACAACCATTTGGCTTGACTTTATACAAAAGTTTCTCCCTTATGTACTCTCTCAGAAGCACTTTAACGTTCTGTACAGCACTCAAACTAGACTTTTAATAGCCTTGTCTTTATTTTAATGTCAACACGTAGAGTATTCCAGTCATCGTATGTGTATATCTCGTGTGTGTGGTTTATAGTGTGACTGTCAAAGCATAGTACAATCATGTAGCTACGTCAGGGCTCAAGCTGAAACCATAGAGCCTGAATGTCTTCCAGCACACAAAACAGACACAAATAAAAAGAGAAATATCTCTTCAATAACTGATTTTGTACATCTACAGCCTGCCCTGCAGAATCAAAACTGATTCTTCCTAGATAAAATATCCACCATTTAAATAGAAGTGATGCCCGCTCCGCCAAACATAATGCATGACCTTCGTCAAAAAATACATCCGCGTTTCAGGACAGGAATCATTCATGTAATGACTGACTTCAGGGAACAAGATGACTTTTCCAACATTTGGAATGAAACCCTTCAACACTTCCTGTAACTGGGGCACTCCTGTTGTTTAGTTCCTGCTAGTAATAATGCTCATGACTTCATACATTCACTGGCTTGCATAAACTACAATTGACAGTCCGTAACAGACGCAGTCATTCAGAAGCTTTATTGCATTGTTAGAAATGAGGCAGTGAGACGTTCTCTGCCAGTACCTGAACTAACTTTCCCAATCTGGAGTGCAGGGCGTCCATCCTGAAATTCTGACCAAGGAAAAAAATGAAACAGTCAGATATCCAAAGAGAAAAAGCTGCAAAACCTACAGCGTATGTCTCTGTGTCTAAAAGTGGAAATGTATAAGTAAATTAAAACGATGGCCTCCAGTTGTCCATAATAAGGCAAAAAGACACAAACATGAACAAAAATCATGCCTATGTTCAGATATCTGATACTAATTACACTTATTCAAATGATGAATTAATGTATTGTGTAAGTAAACAATGGTCTGTAAATAAAAAAAGAGTGTTCAGCTCAGGGCCATGGCCATAATTTTAGAAAGACTGAGGTCATATGTCCACTGAAGATGTCAAATAATTTTAATTAAATGGATTTTTCATATTATATTAGCTACCTGTTCAGTTATACTTTCTGTTTTCACAGCATCACAGACTAAATGCTACCTAAAATTATATTTATTTATTGGCCAAAAAGTAGTCATTTAAACAGCTTGATTCTAAAAATATTGGAATCCTTTTAGAAAAATTATCATCATGTGTATGTTTTAATCTGTAAACTCCCTGAAAATAAAAATAAAACTCCCCCAAATTCTGGAGGACTTGACCTCAGGGTCCCCATCAATAGTAGCTACAACCCTGGTTTGGGTGGATCTACACTGCACTACATCCCTGTAGAATTATGTGTTTGTGTGTTTGGTTGCCAGTGAGAGAAAAAAAAAGAGTGCCTTCATCCTCTATTGTTTGGTCTGCTTCAGCTTCTCGATGTGATGACAGAGTTTGAGTGCCGGGCCCAGCTTCAATCCCATGTACTTCATAATGATGTCACTCCGCAGCAGCATCAGAGCTTTGCCATCAATCTCCTGTAGAGAGAGGAGCATGCTGTCAGCAGGGGGGCACATTACAAACACTTCCTCTTAGAACAATTTGATCACAATGACAATGACTTTATTAAGGCATTGAATGGTGGAAATTCCAGTCTCATTTGCCTTGAGCCTGGAGACTAAAAGCTGAGGGAGAGCTTATACAACCTGCAGCACAGTGAGCAAAAACACTGCAGTGGAATAAAGTTCATATAAAATTAAATACTCACATGTTTCCTGAACAGCTCAACATGTGGGCCAAGAGTTTGGGGATCAGCCTCTTGGACAAACCGTATGACATCATCAACTGACCAGGCAGAAGCGTCGTTCCCTGAACCCTCCTTGTCCTGTTTCATATGGTCTGGGCCTGTTGTTGAGCTAGCTGCTGGCAAGAGAAAGGAAAACCAAATCAAACAAATACCTTTGTTAAATATTAGACCATCTACTCATGATTTTATTGGGTAGACGGTGGTCAGTTATGTTAATCAGTAAAGCTTTTACTGCTTAAAACTCAACAATTGACCACTTGCTAAACCTCTCCCCTGAACCGTGAATGTCCAGTCATGCATATTACTAGGACTAAGTAGCTTTATATAGTATTCTATAGGTCAACACAAAACCAAAGCTGTTTCTTTTTTTCCATGTCTTTTACATGGATCACAAACTGGAAAGAATGCTGCCTTTTCACCTCAAACGTGCAGCTTAAGCCTCAATCTTTTAAGACAGTATCCTGTGTCTAGCCATCAATTGCATTTGTTGAGACCCTTTTAAAAGATTCTTGTTTTAAAAGTCTGCTGGAAGAATTAAAAACCACGCCAGACATGTTATTTTCAACCAATTCATGGAGCTAACATTAGTTAGAAAGCTACAACTGTTGAAATCTGACAGTCGTCATTTCAGCTGACAAAAACTGTTGCTAGAAATGAGAAGCTGCTTTTGTCTTCCTCTGACTGAAATCAAGTACTCATTGTTCTAACCAACTCTAAATCTGCCACCATTATCATTATGTATTTCATTACAAACAAATCTTTCTCACTGGGTTTTCAGAGTGAACTGTCTACATCAAATCCCCATTGTCACTGACAGAATCAGTAGCTTTTAGCAGTGGAGATTCCCTCACTGGTGACTGAGAGCGCCATTGTCAGGTCATCTGACAGTATGCTACTTCCTCATTAGAAAGCTATTAAAATACAGTAAAAGCCACAGAAACAATTGTAACCTCAAAATTCTGTTGTTATTAATAGTACATATTGTACATATTAACCTTTTGTAGTTCTTGTACAGGCTAGTTTTGTACTGAACTGACTCTTGACAACTTGGATTACACATATTACTGAACTAAAGTTTTAATCACTTCTGACCCTATGAAAGGTGATGTGTACTGTAATACATACTAAAGCAAATCTGAATGGTTAACACTTAATTTAGGAAAAAAGTGGAACTACGTCATCAGGGACAACCAATCTCTGAACTGAACCAAGTTATGCAAATCAGCAAAGTGATTTCCACCTCTAGTTATCCTTAAAACTGCATATGTGCTTTTTGACAATGGAAATCTTGACAGTCATAGCACTGACTACAGGGGCCGGGCTTAGCAATCAGCCAATTAAAGGTGAACTGTTTGGGGAAAAGATCATCATATTTTTCTTGAAGGTCAATGTTTGACCAGAGGGGCAAAGTGAGGCATAATTTAATAAAATACAATCTTAGGATTTAAACTTACAAATATTTGTAAAGTGTATTATTTCATAGTTTAATAAAATATCTCCTTTAATGAACTGTTCCTAACAATGAGTACCCTGATGATTGTGTGTGTATTTATTAACCCTACCCTCCACTCGTCTGTGTGCACACATTGTGCCAATTGTGTCAGTTGGGTTGGAGCTGACGCGTCGTAGGGGTGGCGGTGTTTGTGTCTGTCCAGGGTAATACTGCCGCTCCTTCTTTGCTGCTCTGTAGTCTGGTGCGGTGTGAAGGGAGCGGGTGTTTGGCACGGGATCCTTTGAGGAATCGTCTTTGGACACACCATTCTCAGTGTGAGACAGTGGTTCTATTTCAAGAAAGGATGAGAGAGATATTGTTAGGACTGTGTGAACACTACTAGAAACCAGAAAAATGCTGCACTGTACTGTACTGTTATAAAGTGACTGAATTATGTAGGAAGACTCAGGAGGAGATTTACTGAGAAGTAAATGTCTGAGTTTACAAATTATGGAAATAAATGTAAGGTAAAAAGCACAAACTCTTATTATCAGAAAACAATTATCTTCTATCTGCATTTAGATCAAAATCTCCATCAAAATACATAATGATTATTGCTTTGTTAGAAACTCAATCTAGATCCACACAACAGTACATTCAGGGTCTTCTACGGTTTATGGAACAATAAAATAACCTTTATCAGCAATGACTGCCTTCACAGTTGAACAAACTAGGTGCACCACTTACAGAAACACAAACTACAGCAACAGAAAATCCAGCAAAAATGTCTTTTATTCCTTCATATACTGCTTAATTTATGTATGATTACAGGAGGAGTGCACAGCACATAAAACCACAGTTAGGATTGTTTAAAAACAAAGATGTCATCGGCATAAAAATAAGAAAAATGTCTTGCTAATTATGGCTTCAGATTGAAGATATATAGAACTAGAATATATATATATTATATATATATATATATTGATTGTACTTGGAGGTAAGAAAGTTGAAAAAAAAAGAAAAAAGTAAATATTTAATAACAACAACAATAACACTTTTCACAGACATAGTTTTGGTTTTATAAGGACATAATTTTAGTCAGGTGTACATGTGCTCTTCACTTTCTTTTATTACATTTACTGCATCCATGCATGTGCTCACCTGACTTGGTCCTGTTGTAGAAGCGTGTGCTGTTGTTGAAGGGGCTGAACGGCTGCGAGCTGAACAGACTGTCACTTTCCAGATGTTGGCACATGTTTTCCAGAAACCGCAGCACAGAAGACGTACTGGAGGCGGAAGGCAGCTTCACGTAGCGGATACCATGCTCTGACCGAACTGAGGGCATAACGCAAACAGCTATCAGTCTGTGTGCTGAATGTATGTACACACACACACACACACACACACACACACACATATATATATATATACTGTATGCATTCACAGCTAAAGAAAAGCAGCAGATGGTTTAGGGTTAGCACCCTCCCTTTATATGCACAAACCCACATTTTTCACCCCATCCCACACTGCACTAGACCCTCCCACCCAAGCCAAGCCTGCACAAATCCACAAATTAAACCCTCCCCCACCTCGCCCAAACTCACCCGTAGCCTTCCCAATCCGGCCCCCCAAGGGAGACCCAATCCCAGCATCCCAAACCAGGTTAGACGCACATGTCATTTCTGATTACAGACACAGTGCTCACATCAGCTGCCACAGGCACTGTCTTTTATTCCTCCTTTCTTTCTCCTCTCTCTCACACACACACACACACACACACACACACACACACACACGCAACATCTACGGCCCATGAGTGTGTGCTTCAACCAATTTCACCTGGCTGATTGCCTATCCAAGCTTTAATAGTGCTAGGAATACATAAGAAATTTTCAAGCACTGATTTTCAAGAGACTTTTTACTAGCCTGGGTGTGTCCAAAGGTAACAAAATCCACCTACGAGCGCCTCTAAAGCTTTCTTATTAACATGTTATATCTCTCTTGTTTAATCTGTACAAATACTTTAGTGTAACTGACAATTCTGACATTTCTTGAACCACTAACCACAAACAGCAGAGGCTTCATGGAGTTACTGCTCACTGGCAAGACCCAATATAATACGGAAAATTGGCATTTTTACATGTTGATTGTTACCTTTGGACAGGATATAGGGAAGCTGTGCTCTTGTCGAACAAAACAAGCAATTGGAAGAAGTAAATTTTACCTCTGATGACCTCTCCTCCTGTGTGGGACTGGCTCTGTAGGAACGACAGCAGCACAGAGGGCTGGTACGTACAGTCCACGCATGCCTGAACCGCCTGCTGAAGCACTGTGTTGACTGGAGCAGGACCGAAGTGGTCCGGGAGCTGCTGCACTAGTTTTCGGTCAAGGTGCGGGCCATAGTCACCGTGCTTGTTCACATAGACACACACTGGAATGACGCAAAGAGAGGGTATGCATAGAAAAAAAAAAAGAATGAGTCGCTGAAACCAACCATACATGAGTGCACATACAGGCGTCAGTTGTATCTGTTATCCAATTTACCTGTGCAAACCACACTGGAGCTGTTGCTATGGTTGTTGTCTATTGAGACGTGGCTGGAGCTAAGTCTGGTCTCTGGAGGTGGCGCTATAACAGATGGTGCCCCAAGAGACTGCACCACCCGAGGCTTCTTCTGGAGAAAAAAACCAAACAAATCCTCTCTCATTAACTCTCTGTAACCTGCAAAGGCTGTTAGTTAATGATTTATTAAAGGTGTGTTTTAACTCTTTCACTGTTACACGTGAACTGCACTGCAGCACAAACAGCAGCTTCTGAAAGCAAAGCTGTTCTCCTCATTTATCGTCATGAATAAACAGCCACAAAAACTACTCCCACACTCAAACGGTCCACCTCTGACCTTGTCTCCTCTTTATCAAAATAATTTCTGCCATAATACATAAAACAGAAAACGGCAGGGTCATTGGACAGCATAACCGATTACAATTCTTGTGACATCTCACCTTGCTCTTAGGCTTGGGTCCTCTCTTCTTGTGTGGTCTGGGGGCCAGTTGAGATTCAGGGCCAGTTCTGGCAGGGCTCTGTGGTGCTCCATTTACTGCTGCTGCCGCTGCAGCCTCAGCCGCTGCCTTTAACAAAGCAATAGTCTGGGATTTGGGACGACGACCTCGGACACCCTTGCGCACAGGGAGGGGTGGCAAGGGGTTGGGCAGTCGGTATGAGGCCTGCATGGAGGAGGAGGAGTTGGAAGAGGAACGACGTGTGGTGAGGGAGGTTGAGGTGGAGGAAACAGGAGCAAGGAGAGCACCGGGGAGGGTAACTAGAGAAAATGGGAAAGGGGAAAGATAAAACATAGATTCTTATTCTCTGTAGTAGTCCACATGTTCGATTGCACTGAGAGGATGATAATATTTGAGCATTAAAAATGGGAAACATATTTTGAAATAACCAAATTCAAAATCCTCAGCACGTTGTCATCTTGAAAGCACACACAACATAAAATAATCAGATTTACTCTCTGTCCACACACAGAGGCTTCAAACAAAGACATTTGCAGAGATTCAACTTTGCTGTAGGTCCTTGAGACATGGCATGGTTTGCATTATTAGAAATGTGATTTCAATCACCCTAAAGACAGTAATCATGGTGTCTGCCTACTCTCTGAAAATGTTTGGAAGAAAAATAAAACACAGGCGGAAAATGAATAACTGAGAGGTCCTGCTGGGGAGATTTGTTTTGATTTTTCTGAGACCTCTGAGATTGGCAGGTCCTTTCTATTTAGCCCCTCCCTACGCTGAAATCAGAGTCAAAAGTCATGATCCTCCAGAGACCTGCCTGCTAGGCAATTCCTCAAACCCCCTGCTTCCATCAACACAACTAATACTAATTTTGGTGATTCTAAACTCTTTTCACAGCACTGGATATTGGATTCTTGAGGCCAATATAAAAATCTAACAATATATCAGCTAATCTTTTATATGGATTATCTGAAATTGGTTCAGAGTTGTAACCAAGATGTGTACTTATTGGGGAAAACAATAATAAGTAAGTATAACTGTAAATGTGAATGAATATAGGAAGCTCAAGACAAGAAAACACAATAAAAATGCAGCCTTTAAAACTAAAAAACTATGATAAACTATTGAGCTATAATAAACATTGAATTAAGTAGTGTGTGGTGTGAACAAGTCTGTATTATCAATTAATTTTTATTGGCTAAAATAGCCTGTTACCAAATCATCTTTATGTATTATCACCTAGTTACTGAAACTACAGAAAAGCTTTTTCCAACCACTATTTATGTCAACGGATGGAACTTCAAAAACACGACTTCCTGTAGGCAGACATATACCTACCTATAGACATATACATACCTATGACCTACACACATATACTGAGTGTATATTGACATACGTAGTGTGAAATTGTTTTTAATCAGTGGTTTCAATATTAGAAATACCATGCTGGACTATTTATAAAACGTGAGTGTTTTTAAATACAGTAGTTGCTGTGATGGAACCAAATACCTTAAAGGCATTTTATTTGTCTGGGTTGAGATGAGTGAGTTTTAGAGTTCAGTCAATGAGGGTCTTTATGTTGACTGTCAGTGGCAACATATAGTATATTATGCATGAATTTCAATTTTAAAACTTCCCATGGTAGCTTATCGGTGATAAGCTACAATTAGCCAATAATATCAGCCTGGTTGCTGGTCAGACTATACAGTATACAGATGTTAAAATGCAGGTGGATTAGGGGTTTTAGGACCCTGATCATGCAATTATACTTCCCCAGGTTCAAGTCTAGCTGAGACCATTGCTGCGTGCCATCCCTCCTCTTGCTCCCCTTATTTTCTACTAGCGACTCAATTAAATCAAAGAAAAAACTGCCTCAAAAATGCTTAAAGAAAATCTAGCAACCAGTCTGGAAGCACTATATGGATCACAGACACACTCCAACTTAAATGTTTTGCTCAGGAAAGAAATATTACTCCAAAATTCCAATCATCTTAGGTGTTAAAATAAAAAGAAAGTGACAATGAAGTGAGGAAAAAGGCAATAACCATTGTTAGGAAGAAGGAAAAAAAAAATAGTGGCACCACCACCCACTTCTGTCTTCATTAACCATGAATGTGACTGTGACTGTCACTCTGTGATAAAATCACATAATCATCATAGTGGATGTGTGAAAGAAAAAGAGCAAAAGACGAGAGAACAAAAGAAAGACAGGGAGGAAAAGGGAAAGATAGCCATCTCCTATTTCAATACAAATGTATTGCTTGGTGTGAGCAGGGGTCTGAGACTGCATACAGAAGCTCTCAAGGGGCCACGGCTTTCATTAGAGCCTCCTTGACTGAGGCAATATGGAGAGACTATAGAAGGTTTACAGTATTCTCTGAGGGGCCAGCAGGGGCACCCTGAAAGCTGCTTAGTTGGGAAATGAGTGAAAGTGGGCGTAGAATAGAGCAGTGTTTTGTTTCAGAGGGTGAGGGCTCACTCGCTCACCAGGATCGGTCACACAAAGCGCGCTCTCAGAGGAACAGCGTTACCAACCTGCTCGCACAGTGGCACGCTTATTCACACTGAGCTAGAAGCCATAAGCCCTACAAAGGCAGATCAAAATTTGTTTGCAGGGTACCAATCGGTATCAGACGGTTTTAATTCACCAGAAGAAATCTGAGTTGGGGGCCTTCTGTGATCTTTCCCTGAAAATCTAATCCATTCGCATTCTGTGACAGCCACCGACGCAAAATGTACCATTTCCACATTGGAGATTAATGTCATTTTCCACTGTATATTAACTTATCATCACATTTATGTAAAACAGACTGATCACCTCTGCATTTTTAACCAAAACTTCCAAAGAAAATCCGTTCAAGCTCTTTATGGCTGCACCATTTCATCGAATGGATTTGAAATGTCTTGTCTATCATTTCATACTACCCCAAAATACAGCCTTACATATTTGTTACCCATGGAAACTTTATTTCCTTGAATTTAAATTAAATGAACATTGTTTAGCTGCAAAGACTTTATGACCGAGCCACATTTGAGAGGTTGCATGTAAAAGGGTTAAAGAATCAAACGTATTTAAAAGATTAATACTGCAGCACTCTAACTATTTGCTACATATAAATATTATAATGGTGATCCTGAGCAGAGAATGACATCTCACTCACTTTGCCTGCATTCCTGTGTGTCTGTTATTTGTTTACAAAACCGGTCTGGCTGCTCATGTGAGTCCCCCAGTGTACAACTGAGGAGAGTGACTGTAACTGCTGTTTATCTTATCTACATCAATGAATTATGGATTCATTTTGATAAAACCAGATTTGGTAACTGGAACAATAGAAAGTCTAACCAAGACATCCATCTAAGAGATTTTGTTTCGGTCCCCTTTGAATAAAGTTATGATGTTATGATTATAAAATTACCATTTTTGTTCATAGAGTCTGGTGGCAAGCAATAGCAATATTACATCTGCTTCTGGTTAAACAAAAGGTCTATGTCAGTAGAGATCCTTTCCATAATGCTGTCAGACACTTAGAATAACAATCTGAGCCTGTCAGTGGCAAAAACGAGCACTTATAGTGGACATTCTTTGACGGATTATCTAATGTTCGCCCATTCTGCGGTTATTTTCTCTTCTAGCTCTGTAAATTATGGGATGGTTTCAACCAAACCAGAGTTGGTGATTGTTGGAAAGATTGTTTTACAGGTATATGCTAGGTAAAACTACTGGCGTAGAACATATTGTTTTGGTCTGAAATACTAGGGCGACAACTCATGGTAAGTGAATTTTGTATGCATAACCTTTAAATTACTTTCTCATTAGTGTCAGCTCTATAAGGTATATAGTTGTAGATGTTTGTATTTCTCTTCCTGTTCTTAGCAGCCATTGGTGTCCATTTATTTCTGTACAGTATGAACATCAGTATTAACCAATGGCTGCCTGGAATGGTAGAAAGGTAGCACTCACACTTCTAATACACAGCAGCATGGCCAACACACATGGTTTGATGTGATTATACTAGGGTGATGCTTAAAGATACAAAAAAAACATTTAGATAAACAAGTGGATAACATTGTACAAATCTAAATCGGCATCAAAAAAATTCACCATCACAAAATCTGAGCATGGTGCCCCAAGCATGCATGGTGCAACCAAACAGAGACATATGGTACTGATCATGACTATATAATTCCAACTCGACCCGCTGACCCGTGTAAGCCACAGCCTAAGGAAACGTGTGCATGTGCAAGTATATGTAAGTGTGTGTGTGTGTGTGTGTACGTGTATGCATGAGAACGGGGTCGCTGAGAAGTGTGTCTACTGTCTGGGGGGGGTGGGGGAGGGGCTCCACAGAGTTCCCTCTCATCTAATTACAACCCCTCCCCTTCACATCCCAAGCACTCTCACAGCAAACAGTTCATTCAGTACGCGCGCGCACACACACACACACACACAGGCTGTGCGTTGAAGTGAATGTAAAGCAGAATGAAACTCATGAACTGCAGATTCAGGTGTGTGTGATTGTGTGATAGATAGCAGAAAGGGGAAGTAACTAAAATAGCTTCAGGGCCCAGAGTATAAACACAACAAGTCTTCAGCATGGTACACCAACTTTAAAAAAAGAGAATTACTATTCTTCAGTGGTGGATGTTCACCTTTCATAGGTTGTCAGATAACTCCGCGTAATAAAAAATGAGTGTAGTGAAAACATTTGATATCCACTAATCATTGCCTGAACCTTTTGTAAACTAATTCCTGATGCCTTACACACAAAAAGACACATAATCAAAACCACATGGAGGTCCAAACTTAATTACAACAATACTGTTAAAACTGAAGACTTTCTGACTAGCACTTGCCTCTAGTCGCTCTTACAGTGAATTTGAATAAAACCAAGCCATTCCAAACGTCTTCATGCTAAACAAAGAAACCTGCAGTGTGAAACTGCAGCTTTAATCATTTACAACAGAGCAGGAGGCTGCTATACTTGTGAGACAACATGCAACTTTCATGTCAACGGCAAATTTTGTTTCCTCTTCCCTTTTTTAGGTTTTACCAAGATCAGAACCTGTGAGTTACTAAATAATCTGAACAAGGACAGAATTATCTAATTTAAACAAGCAATAACTTTCAAGACACTACTATTACTTCCTGAACTGAACAGATTTTTGACTGAAAAGATTTGAAGGTTTCAAGTATTTATTAATGTTGATCCGTTACATTTAAGGAGAGGTTTCAGAGTAAATTAACCCCTCATACCATAAAAAAGGAACATAGATAGTTCCACAGAATGTGGAACTGTACTTT